AGCAAAACTAGGCGATGCCAGCTTGGTACAGTTGACGGGGCCCGAGTCGGGCGCGATGGCGCAATCGGGGCCGATCGGGCCCAAACGGCGCAGCGTGAAACTTTGTTGGAACCTTTCCTCAGGGCTGCCCCATAGCTTTTGCAGAACGTGGTGGAAACCTTGTGGAACGTTTTTGGAACCTTACCTCATAGCCCTCGCAGCCCCGTGGAATTCTTGGAAGCATCTACTCTGCTGCACCGTGAGTCCCGCAGCGAGGTGATCTGATTTGCCACAAAGCCAACATCTGCCTGAGCAAGTGAGCAAGTCAGAAAACAGTGAAAGTGTGCTAAAAGCCATTGATTTCGGTTTTGCTTAGTGTTCCGCCCATGAGCAAAGCGATCTTGATCCGATGGCTTTTCAGACGACGGGCGCACGACACACTGCTTCCCTCCACGGAACCTTGCGGAACATTTCTGGAGCCCTTGGTGGAACATTGTGGAGCCTTGTGCAACCCTCGTGGAACCCTCGTGGAACCTTCCTCAAACCAGCCCGGACCACCCCGCAGCCCTCGAAGAAATTGGTGGAACCCTGGTGGAACCCTCGTGGAACCTTACCTCAAACCACTCCGGACCACCCCGCAGCCCATGCAGAACCTCTTGGAACCTTACTACAACAGTGCTGGAACCTTCATAGAACCTTACCTTGCAAAACCTGGTGGAATTCTAGTGGAACGGAACCCTGGTGGAACCCTGGTGCTTCCTCAAACCAGCCAACTCGAAGAAATTGGTGAACCCTGGTGGAACCCTCGTCCGGAGCACAAAGGGCTGGTGGAACCTGGTGGAACCCTCGTGTGGAACCTTACCTCAAACCACCCCGGACCAAGCCGGAACCCGGTGGAACACTGGTGGAAATATGGTGGAAAACTGGTGGAACCCTTGTAGAACCCTCGTGAAAACTTCCTCAAACCAGCCCGGACGAAGCGCTTGAAGAAATTGCTAACTCTGGTGGAACCCTTGTGGAACCTTGTGCAACCCTCGTGGAACCCTCGTGGAACCTTCCTCAAACCAGCCCGGACCACCCCGCAGCCCTCGAAGAAATTGGTGGAACCCTGGTGGAACCCTCGTGGAACCTTACCTCAAACCACCCCGGACCACCCCGCAGCCCTTGCAGAACCTGGTGGAACCTTGGTGGAACCTTGGTGGAAACCTCGCAGAAATGTGGCGGAACCCTGGTGGAATTCTGGTGGAACCCTGGTGGAACCCTAGCAGGAGCCTATCTGGGCTGAGACCCCAAAGCTGTCAGCTGTTGGGGAAAAAGCAAAGAAAAGAAGCAGAAGACAAGGAGACAAAAGGAGAAAAGAAGGAAGAGGGAGGAAGGAGGAGGAAGAGGGATGTAGTATGCGTTTTTAGGGCGACGCATCCCGCCCAGACAGGAACAGAGGATGAAGACCAAGGCTCGAGGAGGAAGACGTCGAATCCCACACGGGGGCCAAGAGGACGGACACGAAATAGCAACGGAAGGGGAAGAAGACGTCAAGCCAAACTACGTGAGGAAGACGAGGAGTAGGAACAGGTAGAAGGACAAGAAGACGAAGACGAGGAGAAAGGTGAACGACGCGAGGACAACCAGGCCATCCCTAAGCGGGCGAAGAGGAGAAGGACGAACGCGCGGGTCACGAAAGGCAGCAAGAAGAGAACGGGAGGAAGGAGAAGCCATCCCTAGACGGGCGAAGAACCAGAAGACGGACACGCGGAAGACGAAGGCGAGAAAAGGTGAGACGTCGCTATGATCTGGTGGCTATCTTCCTTTCTTGTGAAAGCTCGTTCCTGCTTGAAACTCCGCTGAGCCATGATAAGAACCTTGAGGTCAAACTTTCCGGCGAACCGGCCCGGGGTCACACGATGGGTACACCCGAGGTTCCCCCAAGTTGGGGCGATCACACTGAAACTCCCAAGGGAGGGTGCTAATCCTTCGTGTACAACCGATGAGTCTCGAGTGGGTGAAGTTTCGGCTCGCGATGCACTCAGTTTCCCTCTAGTGATGAAGCACACACAGCGGGCAAAACCAAAAGGCCAACGTATCACTGCTGCAGGTACGCCGGAGTGGCCAACTCCTCCCGTCTTGCTGCCTAGCTTTGTTAGACCAGGTCAGCAGCAAGACGCCTGGTCCCCCTGCGCTCCAATGTGGTGACAGGGTATTCTGCCACTCCGCACACACACACACACTCACTCACTCACCCACTCACGCACCCACCCACCCGCCCGTCCGCCCGCCCGCCCACCCACCCACGCACTCACTCACTCACTCACTCACTCACTCACTCACTCACTCACACACACACACTCACACACTCACTCTCTCACTCGCTCACTCGCCCGCCCGCCCACCCACCCACCCACGCACTCACTCACTCACTCACTCACTCACTCACTCACTCACTCACTCACTCACTCACTCACTCTCTCACTCACTCACTCACTCACTCACTCACCTCACCTCACCTCACCTCACCTCACCTCACCTCACCTCACCTCACCTCACCTCACCTCACCTCACCTCACCTCACCTCACCTCACCTCACCTCACCTCACCTCACCTCACTCACCCACCCACCCACTCACTCACTCACTCACTCACTCACTCACTCGGAGGCTGGCAGCGCGAAGTGTTTAGAATGACATACCATAATGATATTAATGCAGACAACGACTGAACTTTTAGATGAACTACGCGCATCTCCGCGGCTTTGCCGACGTCGGTTTTGTTGTTTTGGGTGAAAAGCTCCTGCTTGATCTTGCATGTTTCAATTGAATACGAATCGATTGTTTCTGTCTTCAACAAAAATCGAATCGATATCCCAAATGTGTGGTCTCCGCATGTTCAGTTGTTTGGCAGTGTATTGAGCTTCACATCTTGACGGTGTGCTTCAGTTGAGAGATTTGCCGTATTTGAAGCGGGAGAGGGCTATTTACGGAACAAGCTCTTTCATGCCGACACATCTGGTGGGTTTCGCACCTGCGCCCGCTGTGGCTGTAGGCGTCCACTTCCTTCCAGCATGCAAGAGCCACAATGAAAGCGAAGGCAAAAGGCAGCACCCAAACAACTGGCCCTGCAAAAAGCCTGACCACGGAAACACCAAGAAGATCGAGAAAGAAGTTGCGAACTAAGAGGACCCTTGTGGCATTTGGTCACCAGCATAACATACGAACGCGAGTCCTCGATTGGCTCCGGCATCCAGTAGAGAAAGATTGGATGTTGCACCTTCCCGGGCTTTGGCTAGGCCAAGTGAGGACTGGAGAAAATGAGGCTACACAAACAACCATTTAGTCTTGGTGTCACGTGTCGTGTTGTCAAGCAGGAGCTGGTGGGGGGGGGGAGGCACAAATGGCATTGGCTTGGACCGTCAGGTCGAACAAAAGAGAAAGAAAGCCAGAAAGAAAGCAACATGCAGGACGGTAACCTGGACATATCAACGGTCGATCCAACCGCGTCCAGGTCCAAAGGGCCCGAGTCATTTGCGTCATTTGCGGTCCAGGTCAATAAAACAATTCAATACTACAACCCACAAGAGACTGACTGCAAGGCAAAGGCCTGGATGTTGTAGGCAGCCTCCGCTTGATGAACTGCCAACCTGTGCAAGCTGCAGCTTTAAGCCCCTCCAGGGCTTGTAAAGGCCCTGCCCAATTCTGGTGACTTGCTGCACTCCTTTGCTCTTGACAGAGAAGAGGATGTCCGATGTTGACTTGCACTCGTCCGCGTTTCATATGTTCATGGTTTGCCTGCGTCCGTGCCGGCCTGCTTGCCTGATTGCGTGCAACTGCAGGCCTGCATGCGGTCATCCATGCCTGCGTGCCTACGTGCCTACGCGTCTACGTGCCTGCCTGCCTGCCTGCCTGCCTACCTGCCTCGCTGCCTGCATGCCTGCCTACCTGCGTGCCTGCCTGTGCATGCGGGCGCGGGTGCACCACATGTTTCAAGACACGTCGTGAGCATCTGCACGTCCAGGTGCCTGCTGCCTTTTTTTTGTATGTGTGCCTGTGTACGTGTAAGATTGTGTTTTAAGTTTCAGTGTATGCATGAGCAGGGGGACTGCTGCAATTTCTGCAGTGCACCAGGGACATAGGGTCAAGTTACAAGTTGTGGCCTGTACAATGGGCGCTCGTCATCGTTGAGAAGCCGCAAGCCGCCGTGCGCCAAGTGGCTGGACCACCTAATGAAAGCACAGCACAATTTGAGCGATCATAGCGAAAACACGCCAACATACTTAACATGCGCCGTGTGATCTATATTGTGGGGAACCTTGATGTGGTGTGTCAGTTAGTGAAGCACATCTTTTGAGCCGATCACGACCCACATCGAAAGTCTCCGCCAGTGCTGCCTGAACAGCCTAGGATATTCACAAAAACGTATACGGATGTGCATGGAGGCAAACTGAGCAGCCCTTAACATAGTCCCCTTCAGTTCCTTCAAAACATTTCAAATCATCTCGGCCTCTGGTCTCAAAACATGCTCAAACCCTGATGCAAGCAAGCAGCAGTTCTTGCCAATGGCCCAAAAGTCCAGGACAGCTGGCTCTGTGCTATTGGCATCCAAACTTCGGGTCGTGACAGGCGCAACCTGGGATGCTGCGCAAAAAGCATCTATAGTGGGCTTTTGAGGCATCACGGCACGAAATCAGAAATGTGAGGGCAAACAAGCTTGAGGGAATAAGGCATCCACGCACCAAGTCTCCGTGTCCATGTAGCCCATGGAGCGATTGATGTCTAAATGTGACGCCTCGCCGAGGCACTCATGAAGCCTGTACAGGTCTTGCAATGTTTCTCTGGCTACTCATTTTCATCGCTTTGAACAAGCCTTGATCTGTGCGCCAACGCCAGTCTCGGTTCAAATGTCATCCTGGATCCACCTAACATTTGCAAGTAAAAGGGATCTGTGATGCAAGCCGCTCTGGCTGGCTGGCAGTAGAAACAGGGCAAAAGAAAGCAATATAGGCTAATATAGGTCTCAAATCGACCATCAACATCAGCCAGAGTATAACGTAGTATCCTCTCCCACGGTCCTCTCCCAGTGACCCTTCCCGCTAAACTCTCCCAGCACCCTCCCGCAGTATCTTCCTTTGGCATCCTCCCCCGGCATCCCCAGCATCAGCATTTGATAGAAGATTTGCAAAATTTGGAACGAGGCTGATGAACAGCTGTGAAGTTTCAGAAACATGCATGGCTGACATGCAATTCAGAACTTCATGTGGAACCAACTGTTCTACCACGCTGGGAGGTTTCTTTTTGAAATTCGCACGTGCGTTCAACACAACATCCACTAGGTGTATTGATGAAAAAGATCGGCCGCCCATGTTGATGTCTGGCTGTCCTCGCTTTCCTGTTTGCAGAGGCGACTCCAAGTCACATTACATTCCCGCAACGTGAGCATCATCTACTTCAGTCAAAGTCGCTGAGTTGCCGTTTCGAAGCTACTTGGTGCCAGACTCACACTGTCCAAGATTGGCATGGCAATACTCGAGATAAACAGAAGGCTATTCCAACAAGAATGACCGAAGGAAATCTTGCCAAACATCAAAGTTGGCATGAAAGTACAGCATTGTTACGTCAGCTGTCAACTTGCCGGCTCAGAGTCTCAAGGGGAGGTCGCATATCACCAACCCCAATGAAACAAATTGCCGGACAAGAATCATGAACCTTCAACAAGCGCCTTGGTGAACACGATGCGGCCCGCATCCAAGAGCTTTTCGCCCCTGACACTGACAAGCGCAATGGAGACGAGTTGCAAAGCAGTCCCCGTCTTCAAGAACTTTACGCACACACACACACACACACACCGGCACAAATTCGAAACTCGCACTTGTATAAAGCAAACCAGCCTGGCATTCACAGGATCTATGTCAGTATAGGTCTGCAATGTAACCACATCGTAGTATGGTTCCATGTTTACCTGGCAGCGGCCAGATTCAGTGAAAGGACAAACATCCCACCCGTCTGTAAGAGGAGACCCCTCCTTGAAGTTATACTCTCCCAATATCCCTGCCGTGACGAGGGCCAGCAGCAAGCTCCTTACCCAGCAAATGGGACGGAAGTCAAAGAAGGAACAAGGTCAGGGAACCTTGCCAGGAAGGGTCAAAAACACCAGGGAAAACAAATGGTCGCCAAAGAGGGCAGAGGGCGGGAAGGGCAGCAGAAAGGGCAGAACAGCAAGGGTCAAGAGGATGGGGGTAATAGAGAGAGCGGAAGAGAGAGCGGAAGGGCGGAATAGAGGGTCAAGCCGGAAGAGAAAGAGCAGAAAAGGCAAAAAGCGCAGAGAGCGCAGAGAGCGCAGAAAAGGGGGTGGCAGCAAGCCAGGGGGAAATAATTCGCCTCGAAGCGGTCAGATCCCCTTTTAGATCATAGAGAATCCACTTCCGCCAGCCTTCACCCCTAGCGAAGCCTGTCCCAACTCTGAGATCCCAGGCTCAGCCCCAGCCCCAAAGCTCACAAAGCTCAGCCAAGCTTGCAGCGCCGCTAGCGCAAGCCAGCCACTTAATGCAGTGAGGCAGGCCAGTCAACCCAGCTCACACCTGGGGTCTCCCAGCCACCTCGTTGGCGTCCCGCTGCTTGAGGCATTGAGGTGCAGCCCGCCAGACTGCTCAGCCCAGCCCCAGCATCACTTGCTCAAGCCCGCATAGCTTGTGGTTCTATTGAGCCTGGACGAGGCGGACAGCGCGCAGAGCTTACCATAACCAAGCAAAGCAGAGCAGCAAAGCAAGAGCAATGCAGAGCAAGAGCAATGCAGAGCCAGAGCAATGCAGAGCCAGAGCAATGCTCGGAAAGAGCAATGGCAGAGCAAAGCACAGCAAAGCAAGTGTACAAATAGGTGATTATGCTGCACAAATAATGTCAAGACTCACTCAGTGTGTTACTGAGCTTCCTGCAATGCCATGAAGTTGATCCTTGCAATTGCACTTCGGCAGCAAGTTGCAAAGAAATTACGCATGCATGACCAGACCTTATGGAGGGCGCTTGAGACAGAGTTGCTTTCGAGGCACCACGAAGCATCGACAGCCTCACCCTTTAAGCGGCGCCTGAGAAACACGTTGGGTTAATGCGTCAACTTCACCCAAGCGTGAGGCTTGCAGACTCGCACACTTGTGCTCAAGGGAGACACGACTCACATGTATGATTATGCTCTGAGGTCGAGTCGCTTGTCGGCCAAGTGCAAAGAATGCCAAGCACCTGTTATCTCAGCGGAAGCAAGTTCCGACTCAAACCAGAGAGTTCTGAGCTGCTGGGCAGACGGGTACACCGGCAGACTGGCACACTGGGAGACTCCAAGGCTGCCACACTGCAAAGAGCCAGGCCATCACCTTTGCAGGTGAATCAGTAGCTGGAATACGAGGTCTGGCTGAGAGGCTCAAAGGAAAGGAGCAAGCCTCAAGGACCAATGCGGCCGTTGGATGCAGGTAGTGGATATGGAAGGATCGAACCTTGGTACAGGAAAGGATTGGCAGGGTATGGGAAATCTCAGGCCCTGACCCAAAGAGCTGCACTGAAGATAGCCCATGGCCTGGTGCCCAAACCAGATGCGTGCCAGCCTACCGACCCCAAGTGCTGGGCGGCTGGCACCAATATGCAGTACCCCAATGGCAGAATCAGAAGCCTTTGCCATATGGCCGTCATGCAAAGACTCCAAAGTCGGGCTTGCCACTCGATGACAAGCCTTGGCCGGTTGGGCTTGGCCTGACCACGGCTCCGCCGCAGGAGGCTGTTCAAGCAATCACTTTAAAAGCACCGCGCCTGGTCCAAGGGGATTGAGCCATATGGGCCGGATGACCTAAGGCCGTTTGCGGAAGCTTCAACTGCGAAGCCAGCTTCTCACTCCCAGCAATCCATCTGCTAGGTTAGGAGCCTTCCCGGCATGGCGACAATGTGCGGCAATTCTGACGAATCTGCTTTGACTACTATCAGTCTTGCTTCTGTTCACCTGGCTTGATGTCTTGAATCCAAAGCCGACTGCACGTAGCAACAAGAGTCCAGGCTAAACGACAAATGTCAGAGGCGTGAGGGGAGCTCCGTCGCAGCTTTCCGACGGAGGCTAGTTTCGCGATCGAATGATCTAACGCGTGAGTCTTGAGCCGGCGCCGGAAAGCGATACATTGTGCATTGTGCGGTGACAGACAACATTGCGCTTGTTGGTGAATTGGGTGCAAAGGGGTCAGAAAGTGCATGTGTCTTTACAGGATTTGTCCTCACTAAGAGACCTTTCCATGCAATTCCAAAGGAACAAAAAGGAAGTCACGATCAAAACACGGTGTGTCTCGAACTCGGCCAAAAGGAGGCCTTCTAATGTGTGCATTGAGCTTGCTTGGTTGAGCCAGGTACAAGCCAAGCGTACCATTCAGAGCATCCTCCAGGGCAGGTGTCAAGAGAACGCTTGCTGCGTGCAGCACTGGCATGGCAAGGGAAGTTTCACGACTACTCGAATGAAATAATGAACGCATGGCTCGCTGCCAGGTCCTCGAAGTTGCACTTGGATCGGTCATTGATCACACCAAAGACGCCCATGCCACCATGGCCCTGACATCATCCTTCCACCCCATCTGTCTTGATGCACAGATTCATCAATTATCCCACCCTTCCAAAGTAACTTCCTTTGTCCCATCTTCCATTTTGTCTTCCCGTCCAGCCAGCAATCCGTGTGCAAGCCACTCTCTTCCAGATCTGTAGCCTTTCTTCCGATGCTCTCTTCGTCGCTCGTGGTTCAATAGTTACTTCTTGTGATACAGCAGCCATTGGTGATGTCAATGCATCCTCAAACACTTATCATGTGCGTGATCGCCATGTGCGTCAACACAACCCATTCAGTGTAGGTGCGGAGCCCGCATAAAAGATGCGTTTGCTGATGCATTTTTGTTGGGATAGTGATTGTCCGAATGCCCTAAGCGTCAGAGTGCCAGCTTGGATTCCATGTCGTTTCGTGTTTGCCACTTTGAATCATTCGAAGGTTGCTCACAAATCGGGGTCCCAAATTGGGCCCCTCATCGCAGCTTCAGCCCTACCTCTATGTTCTTTGGTTGTTGAACAAATCTGCTTCGACCCTGCCTCAAGCAAAGCAAGAGCTGGCAGCTGGCAGGCACCAGCGAACAGGCCCCATTGCCCATCAAAGTCTAGGCCTAGAGCTGCATATTGCTGACATCCTGAAATACGGCTCGCACTGGTCTCTGAGAATAGCGCCCTCCGAAGCATACTCCTCTGCCTCCCTGGCAAACACCTTGCATAAACCCGTGGTCACTCACATGTGGACCCAACTTAACTGGACCATGCATTCTTGAATTTGCAAACGCACAAGATCGGCCTGGCGATTGAAGAACTGTTGCAAACGCTCGTTGCCTCAGCGGGCGGTCTCTCAGCTCTCCGATACACTCAACATGCAGACGGGCAGTAGTTGATCAAGAGCTGCTCAAAGCCGTTGGAAGGAAAGACCTCGAGCGCATGCGTTGTGACTGACCAAGCAAGTCGTGACCGCAACACCCCCTATCGCACCTCGAAGCCATACAGATCAAGCAGTCCCAGCACACGTCCCTCCGCCTGCTCAACCATGCCTCAATGCCTCTGCATGTGGATAATATTCAAAGCCAAAGAAGGACGGAAAGATACCAATGGCTTTACATTCAGCTGCAACAGGTGCCTTCGAAGGAGCTATTCCCTGAGCAACAAGACGAGTCAGCCACCTTGGCACAATGTGATCATGCGTTGCCAGCACCATCATTGCCAAGCAACTTGGCATCTGCTCCACGAGCAAAACAGCCAGCTCGCATCACATATGACTAAACTGACTAAGCCCCGGTTTCAAGGAATACGCTCAAAACCCAGGAATCACAGCAGCTGCAGCCACCAACTCTATGGTTGGGAGCCTTGTGTTTGATTTCTGCTCACAAGGCAGCCACATGAAGAGCATGGCGTACAGCTCTTGGGCGAGTGAAGCGCGCAGAGTCACTGCCTGCAGACATGGCACCGCAACACGGGAATCAAGAAGTTCTCTCGCGCTTACGCAGAATGGACACGTCAACAAACTTGGCAGGTCATTGTGTGGTTGGGCGGCAGATCAGTCTGTATGTTCATTTATCCTGTCAAGCTCGCAGATCAGCCACGCGGCCATGCCCTTTGCATTTGTGGCTCAGCGCGCAACAAGAGCGAATTGCCATCCTGTAACTTATAATTTGGGAGTAGTTGAGGCTGGCTTGCTGCCTTTCATTTGCTTCCTGCTTGCATCGCCGATCACCTGCAAAATATGTTTTGACTATGTTTGGTTTATTGCTGCTGTATATGTCAGGCCGTAGGCCTGGAGAAAAGCTGCCGGGAAAGACAATACTGGAGATCTTGCTAGAATCACGCAATGTGAACGCATTGGGAACAGAGCCGAGGGTTGCGGCTCCTTTCTCATTCTATCTGGTCCTTGCCTGCGTGCCTGCGTAACAGGTGCACAGTGTGCATGCGGCATATCGCACCCTTGGCCACCTGGCCCTTCCACAAAATTGATGCATTGCCTGCTACGCAAGCTCCGAGCGGAAGACAAGTGCAGTGTGTTGAAGTTGGATGCCCACACGACTACTGAGGTGCCTTGCCAAAACAAAGCCCTTGTTCGCCTTGCTCAAGGAAAGAAGCGGAGACGAAACAAGTGATCCCAGGCAAGGATCCAGAAGCTAGCATCTTGCCAGCGCGATGTGAATCACATACTGGGCCATGACTCGAGGAGGACTGGCTTGTGGCAAAGCTCCAAACAGAGGTGTCGCTAGCTGCATAAGTGCTCATGTTCAAAAAAAACATGTGCATTCCCACAAAAGCTTGAGAGAAGCAATAGCGCTAAATGAGCCAGATGTTTGAGCCCAATCACGCTTGTGGAACCAGCTGCCTCACGCTTGGTCCTTTCTCGAAAGACCTTCTCGCCGCCCACAGACCTTTGCGCAAAGGATACATGGATCACGGGAACGAATCGGGAACTGCACTGATCTGAGATATCCAAGAGCCGTGCATATCTGTACGACTCAAGAAGCTTCGCAGTTCTGCCTCCTGGCACATAGTCACAGGCATGGCAGACTACAATTGTAGGGCGTGTGTAAGGCAGCCCGTCATATAGCATATATGCTTGTACAGCCAAGAAAATATATTTGCAAGCAAAAGCCTCCAATCGTAGAAGCCCTGCAGCAGCGGAGAAGGATTTGTCACCTGGGGGCAGATTCAACGCTGCATCATGCAAGTAAGAACTGCACAAGAGGCTTAAGGCCGGATCCGAGCTCAGGGTCTGCTAGCAGAGCCACAGCCGCCACCACTCTGCAGCACTCAGCCACCTCTGCCACTGCAAAGTCACCAGTCACCATGACATTGTGTCTTCCCAAGCCTTGGTAAAGGTTAAGCCTGTTGCCAGCAATCCTTGCACCAGAGCCTGCCAGAGTAGGTATGCACCTACTAAGTAGGACCATGGGCGCAACATGATATGGCATAACAGGCGCCAGGGGCATGGATCAGCTGAAAGCGGAGAATGCAACGCAGCCTCGAAGTCAAGGCATGCCTCTGGAACATCGCCAGCCAACCTGACGCATGTTTGGGTTTAACCGCCAGCACAGGGTCATCATTGATGGCACTGGTGTTGGCCTTGAGGACGTGCTCAGCAAGTCCCCTGCCATGCTGGCCTCAGCAAGCCAAATACGCTGAGTGGAAGGCTTGTGTCCATGTTTGGAGGCAAAGCAAGCGAGGAATACGTGTCCTACGCGTTGAAGTCATCTGAGCTGATTGCCATTTCTGTCCATGCTTTTTCCACCAGGAGGCGATCCCAAAAGGGCCTCGGCAGTCAATCAAACAATGTTGAGGCGAATGAAAAGCAGCAGGTTGGAGAAAACAGCAGCAGCATCTCCGTTCGCAGCGCTTGCAACATCTGGGACACTTGCCCCTGCACCTGCAGAGTCCAGAAACTTGTCTGCTCAGCTTGTCACATGTGCTGCACCTTCTTTTGCAGTTTGTTCAGGGCAGCTTTCAGAAGGTAGAAGACGTGATACCTGAGAAGCTTGTGGCATCACATCCACATGACTTGAGTTCCTCCTAATAGTGATCAGCTGCATGACAGTGGGCAAGCAATCATAAGTCAAACAGTAGGTCTGCAACGTTCGTTCACCAGGAGGCAGGTCGCCAGACACGCGAGATGCCTGGCCAGGAGTGTAGGTCTGCAAAAGGAAGTTCTGCCGATACTCAAATCATGCCTCCAGCATGTAGGGTTGCAGGGTCGCACCCAAGACAGCTCCATCCAAGGTCAGGTGGACCTGAAGGCTCAGCAGTGCGGTGCTCAACCCCAGATACCCCAGCCTCAATGAACTTGCCGAAGCGCGACGAGTTGACGTTTTGACGAGTATGCGCATTGCCAAAGGCCTGCCAACTTTCGGGAGCATCTATCTTGAAAGTGGAGACAAGCGTCAACCACGCAGCGCAGCAAACACCTGCGAGCTGTTGCTTCTCTTGCTTAATTGCCTCCAAAATAGGGGTACT